AAAAAAAAAGATGACGGACAGGTTCTAAGGAGCTTTGAATTTCTTTTTGAGGTCTGATCTAATTCTAATGTATTTTTAACATTTCATCACTACTGAAACCGTACTTTTTCATTCAGTCTACAAACAAAAAATGCCCATCTTCTTAGATAAAGATCCTCAGAATTCTTCACAGAACCATAACCTTTACAGCAGCAAATCATCGGCGTTTTGCTTGTAGAAGTAGCCAAACTCTTCGAAGGTGTTTCTACTTGAAATATTGAAGGCATTAGTGTGAATCAAAGACAGTACACTTGTTACGAACCTCCGAAGGTTACATAATGCGTTGCAAATGCGGTCTGTTCCATGGGTGGTACCGATGCCCTCATATGGACCTTTTAGCTTGTACTTTTCTTTTTCATTGCTACAGCATGCACACCGAATTTTGTTGGAATAAACAATAGCGGGGAAAACCTTTGACTGATCGACTCCGTGGCCATGCGAAGAAAAGTTTTTGTGCTAAGGCAGCATAAAAACCCAAGCTTTTGATGGGAACTCCCGATCCTTGATCGAAATCAGCTATCGTTGTTTCAAGCTAATTCATTGTTCTAGAGCAATTTGACCACTCTTCTAAGTTATTTCCGCAGCTTATCAATGCAAATTTGGAATCAGCGCTTTGCGCTTTATCTGCTGGTGTATATCGCATTTTAAAAGGCCAATTTATTTAGATGTTCCTTTCTCAGCAAGCACTATCACATGTTTTCATATTACTACATATAACTGAGTTCTAATTGGTGAACATCTAGGATTTGAAACTGATGAAGTTTTTGTTTTCCAAGAAGCTCTCTTATCTCTAGCTTGATGAGATGCCTTTTGTTCGCATTTTCGCCTTCCAATACATGTTCAGTTGTGGTGTGCTGATGCCTTTATCAAAATGGAAAGAGCATCATTCTTCCTGGACGGATTGGAGCATCTGCCAGCTAAGTAAGACTTCGGAGTGGTTGTTCGGTTCGTCAAAGTCAGAGAATACCGCGCGTTATATCCATTTACCCACAATAAAAGTGAGTTACGCCGTGCTACTAAACTAAACTGTCTCAGCCTTAGTGAAAGATATTAAACAAAGCCTTTTCAGATACAAGGTGATCTGTTGATGAACTTGTATTCTAGAGAATTCCTATCTGAAGTGGATGGAACGGGTAGCATCGTTGCTTATACCACATTTTATGAGAGTGCTACTGACATTGTCCATACAAAGGTGCCGCTTTCGCGTTAGATATATCTTATAAATTCATTAAAATCGCTGACAGCCCATTCTCTTAGTGATAATCTTTTAGGAGAATTACGATGTTGTGCTAGCTTATCTTCAAGAACGAGGTGATCTTGTTATTGGACAGGATCGTCACGGTGAACAAATCCTAAAATTCAGAGTAAGTTCTTCGGTTCTTAAGCTCATTTTTCCAATATTGGAAGTGTGTATGTTAGAAATACATTTTTCAATAAGTTTCATCGATTTTTTCTTTTTGAATGAGTTGCGTGTTTGTCTGCAGTACCCTTTTATAGTTATGACTGTCGTCTGCGCTTTGACAGAGTTACAGCTTTTGTTAAATAGAACTGTTATCAAATTTTGCATACTAGAACGTAACCTAAAACCTTCTTACAGACTATGATTACTCCATCTGGTCTTCAATAAACTTTGCGACTCGGGGTCAGTCCAAAAGCCAAAATGCATTACCAATAATGTGAATCTTGAGTGACCTTCAAAAACTTTACCTTCTGGATTCTCTACCTTTCCCTTCTTGGGGCGCAGCGCATAATGGGCTCTTTCAAACCAAGCAAAATAATGATAATTCGTTGATGTTAACGAGGCCCAAAATAATTATAGCACTGCTTTGTGTGAAAAAAAA